AGAGAGAGAGAGAGAGAGAGAGAGAGAGAGAGAGAGAGAGAGAGAGAGAGAGAGAGAGAGATGTACAATACCACACATACGCTCCCACCACGATTTGTTACTGGACCTCGAGACGGACAGTCAATCTAAACATCTCAGGTCTATTAAAAATTTGAGGTGAAAAAAAAAATTATACGTAAATGGAAAAACGACGTAGAAATGGTGCCTACGGAGACTAGTACGAATTCTGTTTTAAACAAAACAACGAACCAAGTAAATTACACAATTTCGTTCAACAAGGCGGAGGTGAAGTTGTAATTATATCACTGGATTCTCCCCCTCCAATTGCACCCCTCCCGCCTAACTCATCCTCTCCCTTTTAATCAATATCAGCGGTTAAGGTGTCGAGGTTGCGAGAACAGTGCATTCCCTCCACATCCCCTCTCTTCCCACCATCCCCACCGGCCCCTCCCTGTGGTGTCAGCGGTGATTATGCATCACCTTTGCCAGTGCATAAAGACGGTTGCAACTGACTCTCCACCACGCTCGGCCCAACATCAGATTCTGACTCGATCTCGGATCTGCCTTGCATTGCAGCATTTGTTATCAATAAACTCCCGTACGTGGCACCTGCATCAGGTGGCAACGTCGTTGACACAGCGATGGGTGGGGACGATTGTGCCGCAGCGACCGAGATGGATTTTTCCGATATTTGCGGCATTGACGTCATGTCAACCTCTTGAGGCCCGACAACAGTAGTCCCGTCATCTCCCCTGTACCCTGCTTGCGCGGCCACGGAGACCGGGTCAGCCGAAGGCATGAAATCATGAGAGCAGCTCCCCTCCAAGGTTCTGGCGGTTTGATCAACCTTCCAGTTGATTGACCCGCGTGAGGGACTCGAACGCAGGGCATAAAATTTGTTGCTATACTCCAGTTACCGATTGTCGCGCAAGACATGAAACAATTCTTCGGCCTTGGCTTTGATGGCGGCCTCGCTTTGCCCTGGATTCTCGACGCGCACGCGATGCAGGATCGCGAGCTCCGTCGTTTTCAACCAGATGTCCTTTGACATCCGGCGAAAAGTCTTCCCACCGCTTGTGTATTTCACCGCCATCTTCCACTCCCCATCTTGGATGCACGGCTGTAAAACGCCCTCATGCCATATGATGTCATGGCCCCATTGATCCTCGCTTGTGTGGGTGTGTTTGCCCTCCAAGAAATAAATCGTGTTCGGGTCAGCACAGTAGCCTGGAGGAATTGCATCGCTTGGTGCGAGCGTCGACGCCTCGCCTGGTATCTCAATGTCGTCTTCTTCATTGCCACGACATCTTCCAATGTCTTGCAATACAGCAGTTTCCGACGGGGCCACCATTGAGGCGACGCTTGGGACGGCCACTGGGATGGACCCTTCCGTCATCATGAGCTTGCACCATTCCTCCGCGCGGAACCTCAGCACATGTGTCCTCGCCCAGTTCGAGGTCGGAGTCCGAAGAATCTTCCTCGCTGTCAACGGGGTTAAAACCATCGCCCGATTTCGTGAGCTCCGCGTAGTCCTTGGACGTCAATTGGTCTTTGCGAAGATCGAACTTGAGGATCTCGCATCGAGCAACAAAAGTCTCAAAGGCACTAGTGAGAGCACCGTGATAATCTTTGAGGGTCTCTGTTGCCTTTTACTTTTCTGTATATATATTTCCCGTCAAGCCGTCCTTGTGGCATATCGCGGAACAGGTACTCCCACACCTTCAGTCTCTTAGGCCCCAACTTGTGGAACATGTCCCTGTTCCGGCGATGTTTGCAACGCGGTTTCTCGACGTGGCAGTAGAATCTGTCGTCCTTGACAAGTATATCGATGAACTTTGTCAAGTATGCAATGTCCTTTGCCGACTCGTCACAAGCAATGGCATTACTCCCTGCCAGTAAGAATTCCCACACAAGACCCGCGTGCGCCCTACCCAATAAAAGCACACCTTCCACCTCCTCGACGAATGACCCGCACAACGAACGCAACTTGCCAGGCTCTCGCTCCCAGATGGAATACACCACACTTTCATCGCCCTCTATGCCACCGTGTTTCCCCAGACACTTCCCTCCGCGTGCAGGACAATGACCATCATGTCTCGACTCGCCATAGCGATATTGCCTTACCTCGTGATGTCATTTGATGGCCTGTCCACCCGTTTCCAGGTCCCGAGGATGAGTTCGATGTCCTCCCACTGGAATAAGCAACGCAGAACATCACTTTGCACCTTCTGCGGTGCGAAGGCAAGAAAAACCCAATTAACGTCACAACACTTAGTCATCATAGAGTGCAGAGCGTCGAACTCTTGAGAGGTCCACGTCGTGCAAAAGTTAGCGGGGGAGATGTCAAGGATGACGGCCCTGCAGGTCATTTTTTACGCCACAGCGACAATGTCGTCTGGCGTAGCCAACACTTCCTTCAATGGCATGCACACCGGTAGCAATATTGTTTGTTTTTTGAGTTTATCCCACACGATGTGACGTGCACTGGAGGCGACCCGTTTGACCTCTGCCCGAAGCAGATCGAGCTTATCGATTGAGGTGTATACAAACACCTTAAAGTGGAACGGAGCCTCCTTATACATTGTCGCCGTAGGTCCCAAGCCTGATCCTTGCCTTGCCTCCTCCACCCCTCCAAGCCGTCGAGGGACCGTCTTCACTTTGTTGACATGCAACTTGTCTCGTTCCTTCTCCCATTCAGCTGCACACAGACCGTTCGGCCCATACCTGTCTTCGAGGTCCTTGTAGGACATGAAGAAGGCAACATTCCACTCATCGTCCGCCCTTCCCTCGGCGCGAAAAACAACGTAGTTGAACATACGGACCATGTACCGTTCCTTGCGCATGATGTCGAGGAGGCACTCCGTATTCACTCTCGGAGGCATGACCTTGATGTTCGTCGTGACCACCTTCCCTTGCATGAGGAGGAGCAGTGCAACTTCCCTCTCGCGGCACGTCCAATCCCCAAAATTTTTGAAGTAGGAAGGACAAAGATCCTTCCACGACACCGTGGAGCCTTTGGGACCATCTCTCGTGTATATGCAATGGTATAATGTTCTTTGCCCTTTCGTCTTGTCGGTGTACGGGCCTGGCTGGCGCCCCTCCATCCTACCAGGCATGTCAAGCGGTATTTTACCATTGCCAACTGGCAGCTTCCCCTCGTTGAACATCTCGAAGAACTTCTCGACCAGTGGCCACACAGCCTCGGTGGATGTGGCGAGGTTCATGTAGCCACGGAGTTTATTGCTCCAATCCTTACTGTACTCATTCTCGAGCGCTTGCTTCACGAACGCCTTGTCGCATGCCTTCCCCATGGAGGCCCTTAAGAAATTCTGCCACTTCTTTTGGTGCGCAACGGCGACCGCATCCTTATCNCCCATGGAGGCCCTTAAGAAATTCTGCCACTTCTTTTGGTGCGCAACGGCGACCGCATCCTTATCGCTGACCTTGCCTTTCGGGGCCTCGATTCGATGGTTATCGATCCACCATTGCCTCATATCACGGACAACATCCTCGAAGGACAACATCATGGCCCGATTTTCGCGCGTGTTGTCGAAGGCGGAGACATTGAAATACCCTCGCGTCTGCTCATCTCCAAAATAGACGACCCACACCTTAGAGTACGCGCGAAGGCCATAGACGTCGATTGCCGGAGAGCCCTTTTTTACCAATGTCTTCATGGCCTCTACCGTATGCTGACCACAGACAGCATACCAATCGAATTCCGAGGAGTCTCTTTCCAAGAATTCGGTCGGTGTTATCCGCCTACCCTGCCCGCCAACAATGTCGGTGCGGTCAACCGGCGCAAGCACGAGGTCAGGCCTATCCCACGCCCCCGGTTCCGTGGTGATGAAACTCTCGATGGCATTCACGATGCCTCGCACAATGTTCGCAGACAAAGAGCGGTGGTTGAAAAGAATATTCCCGCGGGGAAGGCGTTTGAATTCATGACACCCACAAGAACAGGAAGGACTTTTTGCTTAGCAAAACCCCGCTCGTCATACTCGAGGAAGAAACAACGCGTCGTATCGATGGGCACAGCGTGCTGAAGCGGTTCATCACCATCGCCGGGCATGCGAGGGCCCACTCCCTCGCCCTCATCCCCTGAGTCCCGCAGTTCTTCTGCCCTCACTATCTGCTTACCTTTTCTTGCGCCACCACGGTCGCCGCCACGACCGCCAGATCTTCCCTCCTGGCTGCTCTTTCGAGGAGGTCTCGCCTCCTGGGATGCCACCAGAGCTCCACGAGCCTCATTAACAGCGTCAGTCCTCGCTTGTCTCTTGTGAGCGGAAGCAGAAGGAGAAGTTTTTCTTGTCCTTTTCCTCGACTTTGATCCTCCCTGCTCCTGCGAGTCATGCCCACCCTGACTCCCGCCTTGCGAATGCCATATCGCAGGGGACGACAAGGGCCGACCAACAGCCGCTCCCACAGAACCGGTGGGGATGTCGCCAGGGCCATGCTCCGACGTGACACCGACGTCGTCATCGCCATGCATGTTTTGGTCCTGCATGTTCTCATCCCCAACGTCCATATACTCGTCATCACCGTCGTCTTCACGTGGACCGCAGCTTCCCCCATCTTCTTCCTCCTCGTTTCGCTCAGTAAGGGCAGTCGCACCTTCCTGGGCACTGTCACGCGCAGCATTGCGTCCGTACAGATTTCTGTCGTCGTACTCCGTAGCCTCGCTGGAACATTGAGCGATATCGTGACCTCCTCTCACCATGGGCAAGGGCGAGGGCGACGCGGCTGGCAAAGGCGGAGCTGGACAAGCAACCAACTATTTCCTCTTCCCAACCGGCGCAGATGGCGTCTGTCGCAATTTCCTCGAGCTCGTGACAAAGGGCACGAAAGCGCAGTCGGCTTGCTGGTCTAGAGGTAGCCTTGAGAAGGCTTCCCTGTACTCCTTAACAACGCCTGCCAGTTAGTCCGCCGGGCTGCTGAATTTCACCAAGGGTTTGGTGAGCTCCAAGGAACTTTCAACGACAGGAAGGCAGCCAGTGACGCGGTAGCCGTTCGTTCTACTGAGGAACTGTTCCGCAGTCAGCATGCGAAGCTCGGTGCCGTCCCCACGCACGTCAAACGCTTTCATGGAGAAAGCCTTGACGCCGTAGCCTTGAAAGAGCCGCAAGTCCAGGCCGACCTTCTTGTCTTCCTTGACCCAATTTGTGCCATCCTTGTCGAAAACTTGCGTAAGAAAGAAGGTCCTGAACGACCTCCCGTCGTAGGTATTCCTGGCGCTCTCAGATTTCTCAACACCCCCACAACAGTACCACGTCGCACCATTGTCGTCGCTCAAGAAGACGACGGCCCCACACCCAGGCCTATGCAGACCACCAACCCAGTCCAGAGCCCATGGTTTGTTGTTGTAGATTTTTGACCTGCCATATGCCCGAGAGGACGAAGCAGCAGGTTGACCTAGAGGGCACAAACAAAGGAAACGCACAAGCAAAGAACAAATGTGGAACAAACAAAAGCGCTTCGCATGTGGAGTCGACCCTCGTTTCTGGAAAGGGGTCCGACGTTCCCTAGACGCTCGCCCCCCCGACCCTCGTTTCTGAAAGGGGGTCCGGCGTTCCCAGAACGCCTGACCCCCGACGTCTCCGGAAAGGTGGCCCGACGTTCCCAGAACGCCCGACCCCCGACAGGCGTTTATGGAAGGGGGTCCGGCGTTCCCAGAACGCCCGACCCCCGACCGTCGTTTATGAAAGGGGGTCATTTGCTCCCAGAACGGCCGACCCTCGGGGAAATTATGAAAGGGGGTCATTTGCTCCCAGAACGGCCGACCCCCGACCACATCTGAAAAGGGGTCCGACGTACCCTAGACGCCCGACACCCCGACACCCCGACACCCCGACACCCCGACCCTCGTTCCCTAGACGCCCGACGTTTCACGACCGTTGCGTGTGCGGGTCTGGCGTCCGCTAAATAGCAGACCCCACCAGCGTGCCTATCGGCACGGTAGTTGGCCGGACCCCTCCCTCGCCCGCGTCCTCGACGAAACCCCGCGGCGTTTCATGTCCATCCCTCCCCCTCCCTCTAGCAGCACCGAGGGGGGTCCGGCGTTCCCGGAACACCGGACCCCCCTCGGTGCTACCAGACAGTAAGGGGCCCCCTCCCTCCCCGTCGCCGGCAACAGCACCAAGGGGATCCGGCGTTCTGGGAACGCCGGACCCCCTTTGAGCTGCGGGGGAAGAAGTGGGTCCGTCCGCACCCCTCGATGGCCACAGCACAAAGGGGGAACGCCGGACCCCCTATGTGTGGCAGGGGAGGACGGGAACGCCGGAACCCCTTTGTGCCGCGGGGGAGGACGGGGGTCCGAGATCCGATCCGACGATGGGCATAGCACGAAGGGGGTCTGGCGTTCCCGGAACGCCGGACCCCCTTTGTGCTGTGGGGGATGAAGGGGTTCCGCCCCATCCCCTCGATGACCACAACACCAAGCCCCCTCGGTGCCCCTCGCTCCCCCGAAGCGCGAAGGGGGTCCGGCGTTCCCGGAATGCCGGACCCCCTCTGCACTAAGGGGGGGGAGGAGGGGGGGGGAACAAGGCGAGACACACCCCTCGCTCCCCC